GTCTTGTGTTTTGTTGAGACTCCGGCCACACTTGTCGGCTTAGTGTTCTTTGGTGAATTTGTTTTGAAAGCTGCTTTCTGGGTCAACTGTACCAACGTGTCGTCATGATGTGTTCGCCTCGATTCCGACTGCCGTTGGGACGGCGACGAGACCGAGGCGAGACAAGAAGTGCAGAAGAGAAGACGGAATGGCATCACCTTGTCCGATTAATCCACCACCAGTCCGTCGGTCACCGGAAGCGACCCAGACGGATCGCGTCTCTATTCCACAAGCACTGATGGCCTCGAAACAGATGATACCGAAAATCAAGTAACTTCCGCTTAAGCCATCAAAGCGACTCGTCAATCGTGCGAAAACGGCCCAGCTTCGCATAGAAGCAGTATTCACATTGTTTCGTCTAAGCTGATGAGCAATTGATACTTGCATTGTCCCACAATCATATGAGTAGGTCTTGTGTTTCCATTCCATACCACACAGCTTTGTTGGCAAAAAGCTATTCTCCTTCAGGGTCGACCGCAGTTTTCACCGCGCGGGATTCGAACCCAGTTGCCGCTACGTATAGAAGGGCCCCAGTCAGTCTAGATCGGTTCACACCTTTTCACAAACTGACTTGACCTCGGGGCACAACTGTCGCCAGCATACACGAGGCAGAGTTGGCTTTCTAGGATTCTCTTGTCTGGCATTTCGAGTGTGATGCATACACTCAAAAGGTCAATCCTACCAGAAGGCGAGTGCAGATTTCACTGGATCAGCTGCTTTCTTTGGATAAACCGCGAAAATATGTAACATTTTGTAAATCGACTTCGAGCTCAGCAAAGTGGAACTATGCTCTCGTCTGTCATATGACACATCTGGTCAGCTAATCTTAATTGGGAGCTGTGCACTTTTTGGAATGCAGTGTGATTGGGTTTGCTTATGATAATCGTGAATCATGATTTCTTATTGACTCGCCAACTTGACTGTGGTTGTGGAAATGATATTCTGCTCAAAAGGCCTAGCACAGTTTTGTCGGAATCAAAGATAACTGCTTTGGAGACAGCTTCAAACAGAATATTTCACTAAAGACGAGGACATTTGGCGCGAAGGCACCAATCAGCGTCTTATGCTGATGCCGGCCCACGTGAATCTCTTCATCACCCAATTTCACTCGGAGTGAATATGAGCCCAAGCACTTCAAGTAGTCATGGCAACAGTTTAACTATGAGATGGAATGTTCCCACCTCGGACTGCAAGTGTGTGATCCCTTTGAAGCTGGAGGGCGCTTCAGACTCTTTCTGTCTCTAACGAAGTTAGGGTCCATGACACGAGTCTCCTTCAACCAAAAGGTCATCGTATCTCATGGCTACTGGCCAGGTGTGACACCCAATTCAGTTGGGTTTTGTCGAGCCATACGTGGAGATGAAACTACGGTCCAGAATGGTTTAGCAAACCCATCTTGAATGCAGAGTGCCCAGAGAGACCCAAATCTAACGGTTTCTCGTAATTATGCAATGTGAATAGAAGTTGTTTGACCTTGTTTTCGCAACTCGGTCAGGATGGTAGGAAGACTTAAAGAAACGCACCTTGTCCGGAGTCCGTTGTATGCATCATCGTTTCCAGAGTAGGACCGTGGACGTGGTACATTCCCAGACGTTT